GGGAGAACCAGGGGACAGATGGAGCGCCTCTGGTAGACCTGGGAGGAGCGGGGCTTAGGGGGAAAGGCGGGAATGGGGGGGATGGGAGGAACGAGTGGGGGGCCAGGTGATGATCGGGGATGGAGGGAGGAGGTGTGGGTTTAAAACGGGGTGAGGTGAAGCTGAGGGGAAAACGAGGAAGGGGGTACGGAAAGGCACCGGGGAGCTGAGGAGAAAACGGGGGGAGATGGGACAGGGGGAAAATCGGGGGTGGGGGCGGACCAGGGCGGAAGGGGGACCTGAAGACGCCGGCGGTCAGGAGAATGGGGGAGACGAAAAGCAAAGACTGAGGAGAGAACTGGGGGGATGGGGTCCCGGAACCCCGGCGGGAGAGAGGAAATGAGGCAGAGGAGTAAAATTGGCAACCTGAGGCGGCGGGGAGCTCACAGGTTAAATGGGAGCCGCGGTAGAGGAATGAAGGGGCTGAGTAGGAGTAAAAGTGTAGGATGAGAGAAAGGCGTCAGCCGCCGTGCTTAAAAAATGGGAACCAGAAAAAAAAAGCCCACCGGAAAATGGAGGGTGAAAACATGAAGGTGCCGCGATTAAAAGGGGCGGAGAGCAAGGGGCAGCCAGCCAGAGAAAAAGAGGGGTCAAAAGTGGTGGGAGGGTCCAGAAATGGACAAGCTGGGTGAACATGGGTGTGACCCAGGAAGCCTGAGGGACAGCACGGAACAGAAGTGAAAAGAGGCGGAGGTAAAATGAGGTGCTGAGAAAGCAGAGGCTTGGATTAAACACAAACGGGACATGAAAATGGAGGGACTGGGTTAAAAAGAACATGGGGGACTTCCCTGGTGGCACAGTGGTTAAGAATATGCCTGCCAGTGCAGGGAACATGGGTTTGAGCCCTGGTCCGGGAAGATCCCACATGCCGCGGAGCAGCTAAGCCCGTGCGCCACAACTACTGAGCCCGCGTGCTGCAACTACCGAAGCCCACGCACCTAGAGCCCATGCTCTGCAACAAGAGAAGCCACTGCAATGAGAAGCCCGCGCGCAGCAATGAAGACCAAACGCAGCCTAAATAAATAAATTTATTTTAAAAAAACAAACAAACGTGAAACTGAGGTGAAGGTAGGAATCATGGGTTTGGTTAAAAAGGAAGTTGAAAACGGGACAGCTTTGATTAGAGCTTAGGAAGCTTGGAATGAAGTAAAGAAACGGGAGAGATGAATGACCCAAGAGAAAGGCCTAGAACAGGAACAGGGAGTGGAGTTGGGCCACCTCAAGTGGGAGGTGAGGTGACACATTCTGGTGACTACAATTAGCTGAACCCTGTGAGAAACTCCAAAACCACCAACTGCTACAAGGACCCGACAGCTGATATAAATTGTCTTTTCAGACAGCCCATCAGTCTACTGCTCCATGACAACTCCTACCCTAGACCTTTAATATTAGAAAGCATTCAATCTGACCAACGAATACCCTGGTGGTCCAGGGGTTAGGACCTCGCGCTTTCACTGCCAAGGGCACGGGTTCAATCCCTGGTCAGGGAACTAATATCCTGCAAGCCGCAGGGCATGGCAAACAAAACAAAAAACAATCTGACCAGGGACTTCCCTGGCGGCGCAGTGGTTAAGAATCTGCCTGCCAGTGCAGGGGACATGGGTTTGAGCCCTGGTCCAGAAAGATCCCACATGCCGTGGAGCAACTAAGCCCATGAACCACAACTACTGAAGCCCGCGCACCTAGAGCCCGTGCTCTGCAACAAAAAGAAGCCATGGCAGTGAGAAGCCCGCGCACTGCAACAAAGAGTAGCCCCTGCTCACCACAACTAGAGGAAGCCCACGCACAGCAACGAAGACCCAACGCCACCAAAAATAAATAAATAAATAAAACAATCTGACCAAAAAGAGGCGTGTGTTTGAGGGTATGTAGCAAGAAAACAATGGAGAACAAATTTCTCGAGGAGTTTAGGAGAGATGAGAGGGTGGGTAGGATCTACAAGTCGTGGAAAAGAATAACACGGCAAGGAAGACAATATTGTTACCAATATTGGGAAAGCTAATTAAAAAAACAAAAATTGTGGGCAGCAAATCCACTTCCCCAAATCTTTCAGTTTATTAATCAGGTCTAAATGAAGATGACTAAAGCATTTATTTAAAAATAACTTTATTCCATTATCTTAAAAAAATCCGTATTATAACCTCAGAATGAATTTCTCCCAACCTCGCCTCCACACCAATTATTAAAATGTAAATAATGCAGAGGGATCTGTTTTGTTCTTTTTGCAGCAGTTCCTGGCCAGGACCATGGTGAGAAATACCGGTTGGCACATGTTGCATCATAATAAACTTTACCCAGCAAGGATGATTTTCCAGGTTTCAGTGCCTGGGTTAGGGAAATTTTCCATCATGGGCTTTCCTGCTGCAATAATAGGGTTGGTGTGTGCTTGTGAGACTGGGAGCTGCTATCAAAGCCACAGGATTAAGACAGCCCCTTTCCCAATGTCCACCAGGTTTTGAGGAAAAGGAATGTCAGCTGCGATGGCCTGGAAGTATTTATCTTCCTGGTTCTGGTAAGTATATCTCTTCGTCTCCAGTTCACAATACATTCAGATAAGATTTTATTTTAAAGCACAATGTAACAAGTTGGACTTTGCCACAGAAAGTCTGTAACCCGCTGTCAACGTACTGGTGGAGTTGGGGATGGGTCATCTTAAAGAAAAGAAAAAAAGCCCTAATTCTTTAAAATCCTTAAAGCTTGAAGACCCTCCCAGTACCTCAGCTCTTAACTGACCCAGCAATATTATCTGTGCACACAGGGCTCAGATATAAGTGACAACAATCACAGCTCAGCTGGACAAGGGTTAATAATGTTTGGCACCAAGACCCTGAAGCTCCCATTTACTAGTGGAAAAATCCTGCCTCGAAGATTTCCCTATCATTTGGTGTGCACGCAGGAGAAGAGGAAGTCGCAGGAAGCATCTCAGTGATCTTGCAAATCATTCTCTGCATTCCCAGCTAGGGATTTTTTTTTTTTTCCTAATAGTTTCTTTGCTGTTTCCCTTTTTAAGTATGGTCGCCTCTGCAGGGTGGACTGTTGGATCCAGAGACCAGCTCAGCGTGCAGTGAGTTTAAACACAACCTGTCAAGTATCCGTTCTGAAATGACACTAACTTAGACTGGTTAGAGTGGTTAAGAATGTGAGGTTCCACGCAGCGAAAGACCCAGCCCAACAAGAGAACTGCAGGTCACAGCTATCCCTGACGGGTAGACATTGGAGCCAGCCTCTGACCTCCCCAGTGTTCTGAGCTGGGGACAGGGCTCACTTCTAGTGACTCCCTCAGTTTAGTTCCTTCATCCAAGAAAGTGGACCTGCTCCAACCACACCTGCAAGGTAACCCTGCAGGTAACACACTTCTCATCTTAGGAGTCCCAAGTCCTGTTATTGGAGAGGGAAGTTCCCCTTTAAGTCATGCCCATCAGAGCAGGATATGCAACATTGAAGGGTACAAATTCAAGTCAGATTTTCAAGTTTAGCACACATATTTTACACCCTTAGAAGGTCCCTGACATTTAAGAGATTACGATGAAATTAGAAAGAAAAAAATCTCTAAACTGTACAGGGAACAGCAGCAGCTTAAACTCATCATATGTTATTTTCATTCAAAACTTAGCATTATTGAGCAGCGTATCTTCCTTAAGAAGTAGGAAGGAAACAAGCTTTCCCATTCCCATTTCCAAGATCAAGAAACCAAGGCCAGACGACCTGATCTACTCTGTTACAAAACATTTCTCCTTGCCTTTTTCAAAGCCACAGGAGAAAGGAAGGATGGGAAAGTCTGAAAGCTAATAGTGCATCACCTAAGAGGCTTTTCTAAACATGAAGCTCTGGAAAATCCGAGATTCTAATGAAAGGCGCTTCCTCTTATCAGCCCCTACCTCTTTTGAAAAGAATTCTATCTCCAGGAAGGCAAAAATCCCCAGGAGAGCGCTGATGATGCCCTGGTCTGTAATATTCTACAGAGAATGGAAGGCCCAGGCAGCAGTTTGTAACTGAACAGTTGACATTTTTCTTCTTCCGCTAAGGAAGGCAAAGGAGAAGATAACTAACATCTACGGAGCACCTCCGAGGCACGCTCACACCCTGAAGTACCTTGGTCCCCACCATAACCCTGTAAGATAGGTGTGATTTCACCCATTTCACAGATGAAGAAATCGAGGCTCAGGACCTGCCCAAGCCCATGAAACAGGTAAGGAGCAGAGTCCAGATTCAAGACCAGGTGTTTCCGACTCAAAACCCGAACCAAAGTGCCTCCCTCGGATTAGGATCAGTAGCTGACCCCCCTCACCTTTTCCAGAGAGCTGATGTGTGCCTGGTTCCTCAGCTCACCTGGGCAGTGAAAAAGGAAGTGTCCTTATCACCCCACAGTATTCCCTTGTGTGCTGGGGCGAGCTGGTTACAGACCTTTAACAGTGACAAAGGGCGCCGAGGCCAAGTGCCTCCCCCATCTCAGCATCAGTCAACCTGGAGAAAGCCAGGGGCACAGCGACAGGGGCACCTCAGATACCAAATGCAGCTTTCCCCCCAACACTGCCCGTTCCAAAGCTTTTCAGCATTGTTGAGAAAACTTACAGTAAATCAAACCAATTTAGAAAAAAGAAGAAAAAAGGAAGGAAAGATGTGTGTGTGTTTTCCTTTTTTTTGCTGAGAGCCACAAACCGTTTTCAGCCCTCAGGCAGGGATGCAAGTCAAGTGAAGCACAATATAAAACTCATCTTCGACGTAGCTTTCCAAGCTTTTGAGACAGGATAACAAAGGACAGTTGTCTTCCTCAAACTGGCCTGTCTTCTTCTTGAATGATGTCACTCTGCTGCTCACTGCTGTCATCTGTACAAGAGGGAAAAGTAGACCCAACTCTGAGTAATCTCAATAGGGGCGACTCTGTTTCTGTATCAGTTTTCTTTCCTTTTTTTTTTTGGCCACTCCATGTGGCATGTGGGATCTTAGTTCCCTGACCAGGGATTGAACCCATGCCCCCCTGCAGTGGTAGCGCAGAGCCCTAACCACTGGACCGCCAGGGAATTCCTCCCCCCTGCAATCAGTTTTCAATCACCTCTATTTCTAGACCTTTACTGATGACTTGGTGGAGGAGCAGGTGGGGCAGGGTGTGTATCCCCGCTTTTACCTGTTCTTTCCACTCAAAATCCTCTGACATGCTTGACATTGCCCACCCTCCACACTCTTGGTTTCTGCCATTCCCCTCGCCTGGCCCACCCCTCCTTTCTGCTTATTCAAACTTAGCTGTCCTGAAAGACATGCCTCATAGTCCACATCTTCCATGAAACATCTCCCAACCAGTGCACCCCTCAGGGCTCTCATCTTTCTCCTGAGGTTCTGTGATTTGTAAACGTACCATTCATCAGGCAAGGAATCAGATTCCTTCTTGCCAAAGCTCCTCTACTGCTGTCGCAGGGGGTTGGTTAAATCTTCCTTCTGTTTTCATTTCCCCCTCGTGTTTTAGTCTGTTTGCCCTAACTGGTCTCGTAAAGCCCTTTACCATCCGTCTTTCTTTTCTAGTGCCTGACAGTACCGATCTGTGCCTTTCCCAGAGCAGGCCCTTGATAAATATTTGTCCATTTAATTAGCATGTAGGTAGTTGATAGGAGATTCTCAGATTCTAGATTAAACTTTAACTGTCTTTCCCAACCTTTAAAAGACAGACCCTTGGAGATTTCTTCCAGGGAAGCCCCCCACAACCTCGCAGAGAGCTTCTAAGGACAAAGAGCTTACCCTGCAGAGCCTGGAGTCCATTGGCCATCCAGTCCACATTCCCATTCACCAGTGCGGTCACTCTGTGGATGTGGCCGTACTTGGTTACTTCTTTTGGAGACTCGTCCCTCTCACTTGCTTCCTCCTCTTCCTCTTCTGCAGCATCTTCCTCCTCCTCCACCTCTTCCTCTTCTGAATCCACCAAAACCATGACATCACCCATGTCTTGCCTCCTAATTTCCAGAAGGGGAGAAATAATCAAGAAGATACCCTGTTTTCTCCAACTTCAGCCCTCGCTGAATAGGAAACACTTGGTTCTTTGCAGCCCCTTTGGTAACATGGAAAATTCTTCACGTATTCAACTTGGTTGAGTTGTGAGATGACAGTGCGACTGTAACCTCGCAGAGAGATGCTGCCGAAGATTTGTCTAGATAATTGTATCTTGTGCTGGGTGAGTTTTAGCGCTCCACCTCTCCCCACCCTGCTGCTTCTCAGGCAGATGACCTCATTGTCCCAAGCACCCACCATTTCAGCTCCCCTCACAGCACGTACACAGATGCTCTGTTCCTTTCCTGAAATGCCCTTATTTCTCCTGCACTTACTGAAATTTCTCCACCTTGTCATTATTCAAGGCCCAAGTAAAATCCTCTGCCTCCCCCTGAAGCCTTGAACTATGACTGAATTTGGCGTCCACGGCCAGCGGTTTGGCACTGAATTGTTCTCTAGTTTGTTGCTAGTTCTGCCTGCCCAGCCAGACTGTACATTTCACGGGCCAGTCACAGTCCTAGGAGCATCACATTCTCATTTAATCCTTACAGCCCGCCTCTGAGAAACAGATGAGGAGACAAAGGCTCAGAGAGGGTCAGGGATTTTCCAGGAGCCACGGGCTTGAAGGGCAGAGCTGCCATGTGAACCCAGGTCCATTCATTCCAAAGCCTTTTCCCATTATGCCAAGCTGCTCCCTTCTGTGAAAAATAAGCCTGAGGAATGACAGATTCATTCCAGAATGACCCTCAAAAACAGGGCTGTAAAGGTAACACTTTCCGTTGAAAGATGGTCCCAGAACAATAAAATCCCCTCATTATGAACGATGGTCCCAGAACAATAATACCCCATAGTTATAAATGGATAAGAGGAGCAAAGAGAAGAGTTCTTTGCTCCCACCCAGAATCTCCTTAGGAGGCTAATTCATAAGTTCCATTTAGTTGCTTTTCCCCTACTGAGGTTTCCTTTTGGGAGGGGCTTCTGGGCATGCTCAGACTAGTCTTCCAAAACATGCTGTGAGACTATGACTTCTTCCTTTTAGAAAAGGAAAACTAAATAAAACAAATGCGTGAATGACTGGGCTCAACATGTACATGCTGTCTTTATGCCTCAGTGACAGTCCAGCAATGTGCCTGGCCCTGAGGTCTGACGTTGTAAAAAGAGCACAGACTTTGGAATCGGGTCAGGCCCAGGTCTGACTGCAGGCACGGCAGCTCACTCCCTGGATGAGCTTGCAGAAGCTGCTTTTTGCTTCCCTGAGCCTCCCTCAACTTGTCTGGGACACGGAGACAAGAGCAGCACCCTGAAGAATTTATGACGGGGTTGTAATAATGCCTGAGGAAGCACCAGCCCCGTGTCTGGCCTGTGGTAGGTCCCCAGTGGCGGTGGTCATTATTGTTCTTATGAAACATTATAAACAAAACGTCAGTGAAGACATCATGGAAATAGATTTTTGATTTGAGTCTAGGGAACACTCACCTGAAAGTGCTTCCTACTGAAAGGAGAAAGGAAAAAACATTAATATCCAATAATATCCACTTCGGCCTCACAGAAATTTCTAATCAATCTAACATTTACAAAAGAATGGACAATGAGAAAACTGACCCAACACGAGAGATGACAGGGTGTTCAGGCATGGTTCTTAGGTGCTTCATTATTGCACATCTGCACCTAATTTGGAAACCTCTCGAATGGAGCTTCAGGTGGGAGTATAACAGGGGCCACCTTCCCCCACCCACACCCTCTCAAGAAGCCTGAGAGAGAAGCAAAGGGACCCAGGAAGCCCTTACCGTTCCGGGAAGCCCTTACCTTTCCAGCAGAACACAGGGCTGTAGTACAACAGAAGCCCAGAGATAATGGCCAGTCCCAGCAGAAGGAGGCTCACGATGGTGCCCACAATTCCCCCGATGTTTACAGGTTCTGCAAAGACAAATCATACCCTTGACTCGGCCACGTGATACAAACAGCTAGGAGGGCAATACCTCCCCTCCTCTGCCTGGATCCTACTCTTATCTCGGTTTCATGACCTTGGGCAAGGCATATGACCTCGCTGCAGAGCAAGATAAAGATCTCATTTTCCTACTTCAGTTTGTGGGAATCAAACAAAGCCTGTGATGCAAAAGAATACTGGACGGGGGCGTGGTGGTGGGATGAACTGGGAGATTGGGATGACATATATACACTCATATGTATAAAATAGATAACTAATAAGAATTAGTTATATAAAACTAATTTTATATAAAAATATAATTTTATATAAAAATATAAAATTCAAAAAAATAAATAAAAAGTAAAAACAGAAAAAAAAAAAAGAAGAACATTGAAAAGTTAATATCTCTGTGTCTCTACCCATCAAGACTGCTGTTAAGGTCATAGTAATTAAGAGTGTGAGTTATTGGTGCCACAATGAAGTGATCAATAGAACACAATAGGGAGGGTATTCCCTGGCAGTCCAGCGGCTAAGACTCTTAGGACTTCCCTGGTGGCGCAGTGGTTAAGAATCCCCCTGCCAATGCAGGGGACATGGGTTCGATCCCTGGTCGGGGAAGAGCCCATATGCCACAACTAAGCCCATGAGCCACAACTACTGACCCTGTGCTCTAGAGCCTGCAAGTCACAACTACTGAAGCCTCCGCGCCTCGAGCCCGTGCTCCACAAGAGAAGCCACCGCAGTGAGAAGCCTGCTCGCCATGACTAGAGAAAAGCCCGTGCGCAGCAACGAAGACCCAATGCAGCCAAAAATAAAAAATAAATAAATAAATGAATTTATTAAAAACAAAGGCTCAGTGCTTCCACTGCTAGGAGCGCAGGTTTGATTCAGGGAAACTAAGATCCCGCATGCTGCTTGGGACGGCCAAAAATATATATTTAAAAAAAGAGAACAGAATAGGGAATCCAAGAACAGGTCCACACACAGAAGGAAACTTGATATAGGACAGACTAGTGAGTAGAAGAGGAACTCTTCAGGATGTGGTGCTAGACCAAATAGTTATCCAAAATGGGGGGTGGAGGAAACTTGATGTCTACCTCACATCATTCACAAAAATCAATTCTAGATGGACTAAAGAGTTAACTATGAAAGGCAAGTGTTAAAACTTTAAGAAAATATGGAAGAATACTTTCATGACCATAGGATAGATAAGGATTTCTTAAGACACAAAAATTGCTAATGATATAAGAACAGATTCATAAAGTCAACAACATTAAAGTAAGAATGTCTGCAAATCGAAGGATACCATAAAGAAAACAAGAAAGACAACTGAAAGGAGATATTTGTAGCATGTAAAACTAACAATTAGCATATGGAATTTCTAAAGAACTCCTATATATCTATAGGAAAGGGGAAAACGTCAAAAGACACAATTATGTATTTCGCAGATGAAACATAAAGAGCAAATAAACATATGAAATAATGCTCAGCCTTCTTAGCAATCAGAGACATTCAAATTAGAACCACAGTGAGATTTCATTTTACACCTACTTGACGGGCAAAAATCACAAAGTCTGTGGGTGAAAATGGGGAACGACTGCTGTTGCAAATGGAAATTGGTATAACCACTCTGGAAAGTAATTTGATGTTATCGCATAGATAAAAATGCACATAACCTAACCTTCATTTCTACTCCTTGTACAAATATTCTAGGGAAATATTTGCCTGGGGACCTGGGTATATGTACACAAGGGGCTGGTAAAAGGTTTCCATAGCAACACGGTTTGTTCATCGCAACAAAAAAATCAGAAGCAGCACAAACATCCATCAGCAGGAAAATCAATAACTTAGTTGTGGAGTAGTGATACAACGGAAAATTATACAGCAGTACAGAGGCACAAAGTATAATTATACACATCAGCATGAATAAATTCTGGAAACAAAATGTGGGATAAAAAAGGCAAATTACAAGAGACTACACTTGTATGGTAACAACCATTTTTCAAAACTCTAAAACAAACAATATATTATGTAGAAATGTGTACGTATGCAGCATATTTTTTCTTAAATAAAACATGAAACTCAGGATAGTGGTCACCTTTTTCAGAAGGCCCAGGATAAGCCTGGAAACAGGCCTACAGGTAGGGTTGCCAGATAAAATACTGTGTGCTCACTTAAATTTGGATTTCAGATAAACAATGAATAGTTTTTTTAGAATAAGTATGTCCCAAGCAATACTGGGGACGTACATTAAAAAAAAACTATTATTTGTTTCTCTGAAATACAAATTTAAGTGAGCATCCTGTTTTCTTAGCTGGCCACACTAGCCACACTCTCTGCAGGTAATTCCAGCAGTGTTGGCACTGTTCTGTATCTTAAGTGGGATGTTATTTTGCTATTATGCTATTTTGCTTAACTGGGTGTTCATTTTGCTATTATGTTTCTCAGCTTACATTTTATATATATATATAAATTATATCTATTTTATACATGTATGTATTTTATTTTAATATATATATTTTTTCCTTTAGGATGTAACAGATATTAAATAACTTTTTTATCCCTATGCAAATGTTAGAGATTTAGGACTGGACAATAATTTTCCCATCCACCTTGTCAAGCCACAGGGAAGCAGACAGGCCTTCTCCCAGATGACAGTGACCCACATGTAGGAAGGCACCAAGCTGTCCCCATGATGATGCCAGGTCCTCTGAAGCTCTCGGCCCTCCTCCTCCTCCGGGGCCACTTCACTCACCTTTCACGCTCAACCAGATGTCCACCTCCCTCACCCCCACGGGGTTCTCAGCCCGGCAGACATAGTAGCCCTCGTCCAGGTCCTGGGAGCAGTTGCGGATGGTGAGGGTGGAGCTCTGGCCACTCTGGGTGATGAGGTGGTGGCTGCTGGGCTGGATGACGACCTCCGGCTGGGTGAGGTTGCTCAGCCACAGGATCTTGGCTGGGGGGTAGGCTCCAGACACTTCGCAGGTGAGCGTCACACTGCCTCCCACGAAACAAGTCTTCATGGGCTCAGAGAGAAGGGAGGGGCTCCCTGACCATCAGAAGAAGGTAAAGAAAGACAAACGTTGAAGGAGATTCAATCGGTGGTCTGAGAATTTCAAGAATATTACTTCTTCCAAACAAAGCAACTCCAGAAACTTCAGTACTGCACCTGGTCTCATATAATAATAAAAGCTAATATCTGCTGAACACTCAATGGGCTAGGCACCATTCTACTTATTAACCCAATTAATTAATAATTCTCACAACAATCTTGTTATCCCCATTTTGCAGATGGGGAAACTGTGGCACAGAGAAAGTTAAGTAACTTGCTCAAAGTCACATGACTAAATAAGTGAGCAGCTAGGATTTACGGGGAACAAATGTCCTGGTTTGCGCAAGGCTGAGGGGGTTCCCAGGACCTGGGGGCTTTCAGTGCTAAAACTGGTGAAGTCCCAGGCAAACCAAGATGAGTTGGTCACTCTATGTAAGAATGGAACCCAAGGAGTCACGCTTTTGTGGTCCACATCTCCTTACTTCTTATGCTGTAAGCTTCTATGTATAATAACCATACTGATGAGATAAGATATGGGCACACAGCCTGACAAGGGTGTTCCAGGGGACAGAAGGCAGCTGTATTAGTTTCCTGTTGCTGCTGTAACAAATTGCACAAACTTAGCAGTTAAAACAACACAAATTTATCCTTTTATAGTTCTGGAGGTCAGAAGTCCGAAATAATCTTGCAGAACTAAAATCAAGGTGTTGGCAGAGCTGGTCCCTTTTGGAGGCTCTAGGTGAGAATCCATTTCCTTGTTTTCTCAGCTTCTAGAAAGGAGCCACCTGCATTCCTTGGCTTGTAGTCCCTTCCTTGAATTACTCCTACCTCTTGCATCTGTCATCACTTCTCACTACTGCATGTGACCCTCCTGCCTCCCTCTTATAAGGACCCTTGGGATCACACTGGGCCCACCCAGATAACCCAGGACACTCTCCCCATCTCAAAATTCTTAATCACAGATGCAAAGTCCCTCTACCATGTAAGGTAACATTATCACAGGTTCTGGGGATTAGGATGTGGACATCTTTTGGGGGCCATTCTTCTGTCTAGCACAGGTCTGTCCTAGAAAACTCAGAATGTGGCGTCCCTGTGGCCTTGGGGTCTGATTTAAGTGGGACACAGGGAGCTATGAGGTCTACTATGGCGATCTACTTGTATCCTTTGCAAGAGAAGCCTTTTCCCAAAATGCACACCCTCTTGGGAAGGGTAGCAAATTCATCTTGGGAGGATTTATGAAATCCATATTTTCAGCAGCTGAGGGATACAGAGCAGCATGTTGGGTTCCTGCCCTGGAGAGTGAAACTACACGCTTCCCCTTGGCCGTTGTTCCAAGAGAGAAACTAGGGTTTCACTGCTGGCATCTGCGGAAGGGGGAAGGGGCAAGGGGGTGGGGGTGGAACAACCCAGAAGCCTCTCTCTCTAGGTCAGGTTAACAGAAGAGAATACCCCAAACCTGGTTTTGCTCAGAAAACTCACCTGCGGACACTCCTTCTTGGATCAACTGTCAGATTCCCCCCATGTTGCTAAATCACTCCTTCCCCGCTTCATGGTTAACCAGAATTTCCTTTAGGGTCACAAAGCCAGCAGCAGTGACAAGCCTCATCAGTATGGCTGTATTTGGGGGTCCCAAACCAAAGTTTGATAAATGGCCCCCTCCTCCTTTATTAAAAGCAAAACAAACAATTCCCCCAGTGCACCTCCCCTGAACCCCAAACAAACATCATGTACTTTTGCCAGACACAGCACTCACCCCTCAGACAGCTGTGTCACCATCCAGCTAGTGTGGCACCTATAAATTCAACGAGTTTCACTTAAAGGGATACTGCGTCAGGGGTGGGGCAGGTGCTGCTGGGCCCTCACAGATCTGCAAGAGGCCGACCACATGCTGGGGCGGGGCTCTGTAACAGTAACACCGCAGCTTATCATAGGCTGAGTTGGCGTCTTCAGTTTAGAGGCTACACACCATATAAAGAGAGATCTGGGGAGTTCCCTGGCCGTCCAGTGGTTAGGTCTTGGTGCTTTCACTGCCGGGTGGCCCAGGTTCAATCCCTGGTTGGGAAACTAAGATCCCACAAACTGCGTGGCACAGCTGAAGGAAAGAAAGAAAGAGAGAGAGAGGGAAGGAGGGAGGGAGGGAGAGAGAGAGAGAGAAAGAAGGAAGGAAGGGGAGGGAGGGAGGGAGGAAGAAAGAGAAAGAAAGGAAGGAAGGAAGGAAAAGAAATGAAAGAAGGAAAAAAAAGGTAGATAGATAGATAGATAGATAGATCTGGGCAGCAGAATTCCCCAAAAGCATCACTTTTCATCAGCTTGGGGGCTACACTGCCCTGGATCCCTGAGGTGGACGTTAGCATTACACTTCAGGGTTGTACTAGTCCTTTCAAGTGGAATGATCCAGACACCCCTCGCCTGCAAGGGCCTTGCTACTCAAGGTGTGGTCTTCGGACCAGCAGCACCAGCACTTCCTGGAGGCAATTAGAAACGCAGATATTGGGTCCAACCCAGACCAGGAGAGTCAGAACCTGCATTTTAACCGGCCCCCCCAGGTGACTTGTATGCACATCCAGGTTCGAGTGCCCAAGAGGGAGGCGGGGAGAACTGGACGGCATCAGAGTCCGAGAAGGGTCCAGGCTCTGTGCTTGCTTCCTGTGCTCCTGGAATTGGGAAAACTTCTGGTCAGCTCCCTTCTCCAGACACATTTCTTAACCCTGAGCACATATTTAGATTCAAATTATTGGTCAAGTCTCAGGGGTCACAGGAATAAAGACTTAGGCAAGATCTGCAAATAAAATGGAAGGGTAAGGGCGAAATAACACAACCCCACTAGCTGCCTCTGCTAATTTCACCCTCTCTCAGCATCGGTCCATCATTTATTCACTTCCTGGGACTTACTGTCCATAACACACTTCAGACGTCCTCATTATGTACCACTCTGAGTGTGTATACTGCTTTCTATTTGCAGTCTGGGCAAGTCGGCTGCCTCTGTTTCACCATCGGTAAAATGGAGCATCCTCCCCAAATTCATGTCCACCTAGAACCCCAGAACGTGATCTTATTCGGAAATGGAGTCTTTGCAGATGTAACTAGTTAAGGTAAGGATCTCAAGATGAAATCATCCTGGATTGAGGGTGGGCCCTAACTCCAAGGACTGGTATCTTATAAGAAGAAGAGAGGCCACAGGGAGACATACACACAGAGGGGAAGGTCACGTGAAAACGGATGCAGAGACCAAAGTGATGCAGCCACAGGCCAAGGAACACATAGAGCCATGAGGAGCTGGAAGAGGCCAGGAAGGATTCTCCCATGAAGACTCTGATGGGAGCACGGCCCTGCCGACACCTTGATTTCAAACTTCTAGCCTCCAGAACTGAGAGAGAATAAACGGCTGTTGTTTTAAGCCACCAAGTTCGTGATACTTTGTTACAGCAGCTCCAGGAAACTAATTCTGAGGGATAATACGAGCTCTCAGCTCACAGGGTGATTGAGGACTGAACGAGATACTGTGTGCAAAACACTTGGCACCTGCACTCTATCTGCACTCAGTAAATGTTAATGTCACCATCGCGGTTGACCCTTGAACAACATGGGGGTTGGGGGACCAACCTGCGAGAAATCTAAAAATCCACGTCCTGCTCTCTCTGCCTCAGAAGCAAAGGAATTGATAAATGACTCGCCCAAGGACAGGAAGCTGAAACAGTTTGGATAGAATCAGGACTCAAACCCTAGTTCTTTTGCTTCTATATCCTATGATCTCTAATCAGACACAAACTTTTCCCCACAGTGAGTTAATTTAAAGATCTGTTAAGTGAAAATACAGATACAACATTTATTGAAAAAAATTCACATGTACGCAGAACCACGCAATTCAAACCTGCGGTGTTCAAGGGTCAGTTGTATTTGTGATATTGTCATTTCCTGCTCCACATTGGCCAGACTTCTCTCTCCAAGTAAAGTTTAAGTCCTTTAAAGGCAAAGACTCTGTATTCCTCCACAGTACCTGGAACCATGCTGAGCACCTAAATCCTACCCAAAAAGATTTGCTAGATCATGTGTGGAAGGTCACCAGGAAAGCAGTCAGCACTACCTGGATAAAAGCAAGGGCGCTGGCGTCAGACCAGCCTGGCTATGTTTTGGCTCCGTCACTTATGAGCCAACTGATCTTGGGTAAATTAGTTCACACATGTTATCATCTGTAATTTGCAGGCTACTGTGAGGATTACATGGAGTAAGTTAATAAGAAAGAGTCAAAGACCTTCTGAGCGCAGAAACCTAAAAGAACAGGACTGAGAGGGGACTTCCCTGGTGGTCCAGTGGTTAAGACTCCACACTCCCAATGTAGGGGGCCAGGGTTCGATCCCTGGTCAAGCAACTATCAATAGATCCTGCATGCTACAACTAAGACCCTGTGCGGCCAAATAAATAAATAAATGAATATTTATTAAAAAAAAAAAAAAAAAAGGGCTTCCCTGGTGGCGCAGTGGTTGGGAGTCCGCCTGCTGAGGCAGGGGACACCGGTTCGTGCCCTGGTCTGGGAGGATCCCACATGCCGTGGAGCGGCTGGGCCCGTGAGCCATGGCCGCTGAGCCTGCGTGTCCGGAGCCTGCGCTCCACAACGGGAGAGGCCGCAAAAGAGAGAGGCCCCAAAACCGAAAAAAAAAAAAAAAAAAAAAAAAAAAAAAAGAACAGGACTGACAGAGGTGAAATTTTCAAAATCAGAAACTGCTCATCACTAGCAGAAATGTGGTTTAGGAGCCAAATATGCCAGAGAAATATCTATAACGTGCATGACAGTTCTATGAAATTAACTGACTCTTATGGAATAATAAGAAAAGATGAACAAGCCAATAGAAAAATGGACAAAATATGAGCAGATAATTCACAGACAATATATAGGAAGTCAGTGCGCATATGAAAATTATCAACTCCACCAGTGATCAAAGAAAACCAAATGAAAACAATATGCCATATCCCAACTAGCAAACAGGAAAAAACTAAAAAATTAATAACACTCGATGTCGGTGGAGATACTGGGAAATGAGAGAGTGACTGCTAGGGTTTCTTTTGGGGGTGATGGAAATATTCTGAATTAGAATGGTGATGGTAGTATAACATTGTGAACATACTAAAAAAAACAATGAATTATAAACTCTAAAATAGTGAATTTTAGGGAATTCCCTGGCGGTCCAGTGGTTAGGACTCTGAGCTTTCACTGCCGAGGGCGCAGGTTCGATCCCTGGTCGGGGAACTAAGATCCCACAGGCTGCACGGTGCGGCCAAAAAATAAAAAAAATAGTGACGTTTATATTATGTGACTTAAATCTCATTTTTAAAAAATGGTCCCCAAACCAATTGGGTCGGATTTGGCCCATGAGGCATAGTTTACCAAGCCCTGTCCTAGGGCAGAAAGAGAGTCTTGGTCCCTTCTGTTGCCCAAGGCCAGGTATGGTACCTGACACAGAGGGGACAGCCGGAAGCAGTGTGCTGAATGAGTCAGTGAGAAGGGTGAACCATCTGAATGCCACTTGCCTGGGAAAACAGGCACCTGCTGACACAGCAGGGCTCACTTCTCAGCATGTCAGCTCTCCACAGCTGCACCTCTGAGGACTACCCTCATAAACTGTGAGGACAACCTCACCAGGGCCAACACAACCCAACACGCTCTGGCCCTGGCTTACTCACTGTACTGGTTTCCTGAGGCTGCTGTAACAAAGTACCACAAACGGGGTGGCTTAAAACAACAGATATTTATTCTCACAGCTCGGAAAGTCTGAAGTTCTAAATCAAGATGCCAGCACCTTGCCCTCTATGAATTCCTGGCCCACAGAAATCGTGAGATAATGACTGTTGTTTGAAGCCATTAAGTTCTGGGGTAATTTGTTCCATAACAGGAGATAACTAGTAAATGAACCTTGTCTGTCTTGTTCACTGCTCCATCTTCGGTACTTAGAAACCGCAAGGGAAAACCAGCTTGGACTACAACCAAGAAGTTTCATTAAGCATCTTTAAAGTTTGAAAGGAATGGATGAAGAGGGCATTTGGGGTTAGCAGATGCAAACTAGTATATATAGAATAGGTAAACAACAAGGTCCCGCTGTAGAGCACAGGGGACTATACTCAATATCCTGTGACAAACCAGAATGAAAAAGAATGTGTGTGTACATATATTTGTGTGTGTGTGTGTGTGTAACTGAATCACTCTGCTGCAGAAATTAAAACAATACTGTAAATCCAATATACTTCAATTCAAAAAAAAAAAAGCAAAAGGAAGGAAGAAATGGAAGGAATTCAGTTCACTCCAACACCCTGGGATTTCTCTCCCAGACCTTCTTTCAAAGGGTTGTCCCAGAAAAGAGGAAGGTGAGTGGACCCCAGAGCCCCAGGACAAGGCAAAGCAGACTTACTGATCTGTACCACACAGCTGGCTCCCAACTCCGGCCCCACTATGTGGCTCCCGACACACTTGAACTTCTTGCCGTCCAACAGCTGGGGCTGGTTCAGCATCTCAACCCCCAGCTTTGACATCCCCATAACCACACCTCCTGGCTCTTCTGTCCACAGGAGGTCTGGGTCTGGGTATCCTCCGGCCCAGCGACAGCTGAGCTGCAGCGTGAACAATCCTGGCGGCAGCTCTGCCCAGCACTGAGGGGCTGACGGAGGGGGCGCTGCAAAACACCAGAGGACGTGGCCTTAATCACAGACTAAGATGAGCCACTGGGCTGACCCTATGGGTTACAGAACCAGGGTATCAGAGAAACGTCAACCCCAGTTAGTGTACTTTGAGATAGCTCCTAGCACAAATTAGTGCCTGACACAAGTTGGGTTTCCTCGGCTGGGTGTTAAATCTTGGAAGAGATTTGCATTTCTCACTAGCCATGTGTGGCTATTTAAATTTTCATTAATTTAATTACAAATTTATTTCCTCCACCAGACTACTCACATTTCCTAGTCATCACACATGGTAGCTATTAGGCCATACAGAAGAGAACATTTCCATCATCACAGAAAGTTCTACTGGGCGCTGCTGGTCCCTAGAGGGAGTTGCAGGAAGAGGGAGATTTATCCATCCCCAAACCTCAACACACACCTTTTTTTTGCTATGTGCAAGTACCACTTAAAAGAATATATAAAAATTTAACAAATTACAAACCTGTTGTAACCTATGTGTTCATAATTATATATAAAATAATATATATTATATATGTATGTAGATAGTATATATATTATGTATGTCATATACCTTTATATATTTTATATAACACATATAAATAGAAATTTGGATCTTAATTTGTAGATATGTGGCATGTAAAAGAAAAATTATTGGAAATATACCAAAATGATGGTTAGAGTACAAGTGATTATTTTCTTCTTTCTTCTCATCTGTTTCCTACAACAAGCACATATGACTTTATATACGATAAATGTCATTTATGATAGACAGCATTGAGACTTACAAAGGCTCTGAATAACGTATAAAGTAAGTGTGTCATTGCCCTCCCTGCTAATTGTCGTTCTCATGCTCCCTTTGGTTAGCATGGATTAGGAGTGCACCCTGTGTTTATTTCTACAGTGGTTTTCCTCCACTAAATGTGTGCATAGGTGCATTGGGTTGTTGTTTCTTCACCTGAAAAATAAAGATTCATGAACTATTGGTTCTTAACAGCGCTAGAGGGCCTGTGTTCATGGAGAGCGTGACAGCAGATGAATGGATAAACAAATTGTGGTAGAACCATACAATAGATACTCTTAGGCCAAGAAATGAAAGCAAGTACTGACACAAGCTACAACAAGATGAACCTTGAAAACATGATGCTAAGGGAAAGATGCCAGTCCCCAAAGGTCATATAGGGTATGATTCCATTTATATGATATGTCCAGAATAGGCAAATCCATAGAGATAGAACATAGACTGGTGGTTGCCAGGGGCTGGGGGAAGAGGGTATGGGAGTGACTGCTTCACGGATATGGGGTTTCCAATTTGGGGTGATGAAAATGTTTTGGAACTAGATAAACGTGATGGTTGCACAACACTGTGGATAGACTCAATGCCACTGAACTGTACATCTTAAAATGGTTAATGTTATGTTACATACTTTCACCTCAATTAAAAAAAAACTTTAGACCTGGCATTAATTCCCCTCTATGACTCACAGGGACTCTCCTGTACTCCTAGTTAGCAGTGAGCTTCCAGAAGAGGCAACACTCTCTTTGACACGTGTACGTGTGTGTCGAGGGAGCTGCAGAAGCATGTTAGAACCTGTGCATCAGGTAAGTCTTTGTATACAAAGGGGAGGCACGAACACACAGTTCACGAAGGGTCAAGGTGAAGGAGTGGGGGAGGGGAGCACTTCTTACGCACAGTAGACCAGGAGCTCGGTGGTCACCTTTCGATGTCTCCCGCCGAGCATGTTTGTGGCCAAACAGCTGTAGTTCCCTTGAAGGTTCTGTGACATCAGTAACAGCGTGAAGCAGCTGGCCGTCAGGTTGTTTCCGAAGGGCTCGGTGCTAGAATCCGGGGCCCGGAACCACCACTCAACCATGGGCGGAGGCCAGGAGCTGCTGCTGCAGCAGAAATCTACCCGGGAGCCCTTGGCCGCATACAGCGTGCCGTTGGGGAGCCTGCCGGTGCTGGAGATGTTGACCGCAACGTGATAGGGGCCTCCTGAGAACGACAGAGCGGGTGGGGAAGGCGTAAGAGTTAACTGGAGCCCCTTACCAGCTCTAAGAGACACAGAGATAATCAGGAAGCAGCCAGTGAGGATGACAATATCAACCACTTATTGTGTGACAAACACTGCCAAGTGCCCTTAGCCATGCCTTAATTTACTCCTGAGCAATTCCGTGAGATTTACTGAGGGGATCAATCCTTACAGAAGACGGAAAATGCAAATCGCCCCTTTTCAAAAACACAGATGAGTGGAAAGGATATCTGTGCCTTAAAGAGTTAATACAGCAGGACTTCCCTGGTGGTCCAGTGGTTAGGATTCTGCACTCTCACTGCCAAGGGTCTGGGTTCAATCCCTGGTTGGGGAACTAAGATCCCACAAAAGAAAAAAAAAGAGTTAACGTAGCAGGCCTGAGTGCTTTCCTTAGAAAGGCCTGCCTGCAAGGTTGGCCTGGGCTGGCAACTAGGAGCTTGGATTTCAGGGCGGTTCCCACCGTTCCCAGAACTGGTAAGAGTGGGGTTCACCGGGCCTAAACTGTTTGTACAAACAGTGTGGCTTATGCTGAACACCTGCTTTCCTTCTGAGAGTCTGGAATTTTGGTATGTGCTAGGCAGAGGATGCCTATGTGACAAGCCCCAGTAAAAACCTAGGGCGCTGGAGTCTCTAACGAGCATCCCTGGTAGATATTCCACACGTGTTGCCACAACTTGTTGCTGGAGGAATTAAGCGTGTCCCATGTGACTGCACTGGGAGAAGACTCTTGGGAGCGTGGTCCTCATTGTCCTGTGAGTTCTCCTAGAGAATCAGTGAAGCTGGGGGTGGTCTTGGGGACCCCTGGCACAATTTCACACTGAAAGACAAGAAACATTGGTTCCAGCCCCAATTTTTAACTCCACTTACTAGCTGTGTGACTTTGGGCAAAGTATTTAACTTCTCTTAAGCCTCCATTTCCTCATCTGTAAAATGGGGGTGATGCTAGAACCCACTTTATGGAGTTGTCATGACAATTAAATGAATTAGTATCATACAGCACTCAGAACAGTGCCAGAAAGGCCGTCCCACGATTGGTACCCAGTGCATCTAAGATCCTCTTTGATCCTATATATACTAAAGTCCTGTAGTGTGTTGCCTCCACCAGAGACTTCCTCTTAAGAAGAGTCCAGAAAGGGCAATGCTTGGCCAAAGGGATAAATCTATGACTGAAGAATTCTGGACAAAAATATGCCCAGGGTATAAATTATTAGGGGGAGGAAAGGCTTTGCCAGATCCCCTCAAAGTACAGAAGCTACTTCCACCTATTCTGGGGCCATTGTATAACGACAGAAATTGTGGGTTTCTGAGGAAAATACTCTTGACAATATGCTTGTCTAGTCAGGGCTGGCTCCTAAGAGTTGCAATGATTTGCTGGAATCATGTCACCTCCCACAGAGCGTCTGGGGAAAAAATTATACTGTAGTTTGGGAGGTGCTCAAATACCCCACTGCCCGTTGCTGACTAGTTGGGTAGGTATGTGGACCAGCAGGTCCTAGGGAGTGCCCACAGCTGGCGAGCACCCAGCCAAGCACAGGGTACCTCTGTGGTATTGGCAGCCACACCTGGGCCAGCAAAGGTACTGTGTTAGATTGGACCACGTGGGTCTTCCAAATTGTGGTCTGGAGGGCCACAGAGGCCTGTCATGAACAGTGAGACCCCCAGAAACTGGCTGGGATGGGGCTTTTTTTTTTTTTTTTGGACTGTGCCACGTGACTTGCAAGATTTTAGTTCCCCAACCAGGTATCAAACCCTCGTCCTTGGCAGTGAAAGCACCGAGTCCTGACCACTGGACCGCCAAGGAATTCCCTGGGAGGGGCTTTTGACCAACACAATGCTGAGCAAAACATGGGTTTGGATAAAGGGAATGGATGAGAACGCTGTAGGCGGAAGGGTTAAAAAAAAAAAATCAAATGAGAGAACCTGAAGAGCCTTCTGAATTAAGTGTTCAAAGGTTACAGCTTTTTTATAAATCTTTGGGTTGAGTCTGCTTTCTTAATTAAAGCTGACACCATCTTCTTAAATCCCTGGGGTTCTTCCCTTACTCTGACTAAAAAGAAGGCGGTACCCATTTCCATCCCTCCCACCTCTCTCTCCACCCCGCTGATATTCCTAAACAGAAACCACCAGCCCTTTTTGCTTGCAGGGTGATGGTAGCAATCACTCGGAGAGACAGACAGATAGGAGAGGAAACAAAAATAAAACAACAAATAAATAAAAATACAGCGTGTTTACAAAGGTTCAGCATCTTATGGAGGCCTTGGTCATGTCAGTTTCTTGGATGGATGCCTTACCTAGTGGTTATGAACTTGGACTCTGCATTCAGACAGACCTGGGTGTAAATTCTACTGCCACTTTTAGACAGACAACCTTGAGCAAGTGTCCATCTCTCCTATTCTCACCCTCCTGTCCTTCCTATGAAATGAAAAGAACAGGAGTACCTTCTATCACCAGGTTATTGAAGGATCCAATGAGAGAATATAAGCAGAACACTTAGCCTGGTGTTTGACATGTGGTCAATGTTCTATGAATATTATCTGACATTATTAACAGTAGTATACTTGTAGATTGATTCTAGAACATGCATCGGCAAACAACGGCCTGCTGTCTGCTTTTGTACAGCCTACAAGCTAAGACTGTATGTACAGATGAACATCCACAATCGATTTGATGAGAGAGAACACTAACTTTGAACCCCAACTAAGTGAAACGTTATCCCCCCCCCGCCCAAAGAATCCCTTTCTTCTCATTAGTAAGCCTGCACTACCAAAAAAATGTACTAGGTTATGGGAATTCCCTGGCAGTCCACTGGTTAGGACTCGGCACTTTCACTGCAGTGGCCTGGGTTCAATCCCTAGTTGGGGAACTAAGATCCTGCAAGCCTCGTGGTGCGTCCAAAAAAAAAAAAAAGTACTCAGTTATTATTATGTTTTGAATTTTGTCAACAAAAAAAATGTGGAAATTTGTTTTCTCTCTTGTTATATAAGTACTTATATGATATCCTCGTTTTTACCTGTTGACTCAGAAACACTAGAATATTTACCATCTGGCCTCTACAGAAAAAGTTTGATTCCTGTTCTACAACAATCCACTACTGCTGCTGCCTTCCTGTTCTCTGTAGTCATTCTTGACATCAGAACTCACTTCTTTCCTTCCCCACCATAACTATAGGTTGGCCAGTCAAGTGTCTCAAAGAGTTAATTTACATCTCAGGGACCCACAAAATAGGAGATTCCCATCTTCGTATCTTGGGTTCTTTGACAAGACGAAAAGTTATTTTCCTACATTTATTCTTCACACCAGCATTTTTATTTGAAAATGACCTAAGAATGTACTGACTAGCCTCTGCTAACCAGTGGGTGTACCTGTTGGTCCACAGTGGGACAAGATCCTTGGGGAAACTTACAGAGTGTTTTGATATCACTTAGAGATGGAACATAAGGAATTCCCTAGTGGTCCAGTGGTTAGGACTCTGCGCTTTCACTGCCGAGGGTGCAGGTTCAATCCCTGGTCAGGGAACTAAGATCCTCCAAGCCGTGTGGCACAGCCAAATTAAAAAAAAAAAAAAAAAAAAGGAGATGGAACATAGAGGTGAATATAACAACCCCATTGCCTCCCCACCTCCCTAGTGACCACTGATTCTGTCCAGAAGACCAAAACCCAGAGGTCCTCAGCCTCTTACAAGCATACATCTCTGCTTCAGATGAGCTTGGCAAGACTCAGGTTAATCAATCTTTGGGCAAAGTTCATCCCGTCTTCTGACGGGGCCAGCAATCTTTCTTCAGTATGCCCAACATCTCCTTTCCCTAGGACCTTATGTTGTGATAGGGCACAGTGACACCATCAGCATCACAGAACGAGTACAAATCAGATGGGCCCAGTTAGTCGGGGAACATGGGGCTTTCCTGAGACTCCCTGTCCTGGAAGTTGGGAGTGGCAGCCACATCACTAGCTAAACAGGAGCACTCCCATCCTCCAAACCCCAAATCCAAAGGGGCTCTTGGAGGTTGATACAAACCAGCTTCCTCATTGCCCATGTGCCAACCAACTCAAATGCTCCCTCAACACTTGCTGGGCCTGAGAAAAATAGACACAGGGAGAGTCTGGCATTGTGTACCACTCAGCTCCCCAGCGGCTAAGGGATCATCTCTTGAAAGAAGCACGAATTCTACTGGAATATGTTAAGGTCTGTGCTACCCACTCCATCCACTCCAGGCTTTCTGCAGGTAAACACACAGTGGTTCTAACCTCGTATCCACCTGACTTGGAGGCAGGAGCGGATGGGTAGGTAAGTCAGTGAAATAAACAGCTGTGGCAATCCTGAACTGCTCTGGACTAAGGGATTTCTGTACCCTCAGGAGCAGCAGTCCCAATCTCAATGGCAAGACTCTTCAACTGCATCATTAACTTAACAAGGAACAGTGCAGAGTTCTTACTCCTGAGATGAATAACAAAGTCACATTGCAGTGCCCATTCCAGACAGGTTGTATCACCCCAGGCCTATAGAAAACCTCACTCCCTAGAAGGCAGAGGCACCAAATGCCCACTGATGGATAAGCAGAGATCCAGGTGGTAAGGAGGGAGAAAGTTCCCGGCCCTCATACAGCCAGCTTCATGTTTCTGCAGCATCTCTGTCCATTCACACATTCAAGGTCACTTACAGTTCTTTGTATATCTTGGATATTAACCCCTTATCAGATATATCATATGCAGCTATCTTCTCCCATTCAGTAATTGGCCTTTTTGTTTTGTTGACAGTTTCTTTCACTGTGCAAAAAGCTTTTTAGTTTGATGTAGTCTCATTTGTTTATTTTTGCTCTTGTTTCCCTTGCCTAAGAAGACATATCCAAAAAAAAAAAGTACTAAGGCCGATATCAAAGAGCATATTTCCTATGTTTTCTTCTAGAAGTTTTATGGTTCCAGGTCTCACATTTAAGTTTTTAATGCATACACCTCCATATCAAAATAATAAAAAAGATTAAAAAATGGGCAGGGAAACTGAATAGACGTTTTTCCAAAGAAGACATAGAGATGGCCAACAGACACATGAAAAGATGTTCACCATCACTGATCATCAGGGAAATGCAAATCAAAACCACAGTGAGATACCACCTCACACCTGTCAGAATGGCTATTACTAAGAAGACAACGAATGACAAGTGTTGGAGAGGGTGTGGAGAAAAGGGAACCCTTGTGCACTGTTGGTGCTGGAATGTAAACTGGTGCAGCCACTATGGAAAACAGTATGGTGATTCCTCAAAAAATTAAAAACAGAACTATCACACAATCCAGCAATTCCACTCCTGGGTATTTATCCAAAGAAAATGAAAACACTAATTAGAAAAGATATGAGACTTCCCTGGTGGTCCAGTGGTTAAGACCCCATGCTTCCACTGCAGAGGTCATGGGTTCCATCCCTGGTCAGGGAACTAAGATCCCACATGCCATGTGGCATGGCCAAAAAAGAAAAAAGAAAAGATATGTGCACCCTTATGCTCACTGCAGCATTATTTACAATAGCCAAGATATGGAAGCAACTTAAGTGTCCATCAACGGATGAATGCATAAAGAAGATGTGGTACATATATACAATGGAATACTATTCAGCCATAAAAAGAATGAAATCTTGCCATTTGTGACAATATGGAGGACCTAGAGGATATTATGCTAAGTGAAATAAGTCAGATGGAGAAAGTCGTAAGTGTATGATTTCACTTATATGTGGGATCTAAAAAATAAAACAAATGAAAAAACATAAAACAGAAACAGAGTCATAGATACAGAGAACAAACAGGTGGTTGCCAGAGGGGAGGAAGGTGAGGGAAATTAAGAGGTACAAACTTTCAGTTACAAAATAAATGAGTCATGGGTATGAAACGTCCAGTGCAGGGAATATACTCAATAATTATGTAATATCTCTGTATGGAGCCAGGTCATAACTAGAGTTATTGTGGTGATCATTTTGAAAAGTATAGAAATATCAAATCACTGTGTTGTGTAACAGGAACTAACAATGCTATAGGTCACTTATACTTCAGAAACAAACAAACAAAAAGACTCAGAAAAAGAGATCCGATTTGTGGTTATCAGAGGTGAAGAGTAGGAGGGGAAATTGTATGAAGGTATAAACTTCCAGTTATAAGATAAATAAGTACTAGGGATGTAATGTACAACATGATAAATATAATTAACACTGCTGTATGTCATATATAAAAGTTAAGAGAGTAAATCTTAAGAGTTCTCATCACAGGAAATAATTGTTTGCTGTTTAATTTTGTATCTACATGAGGCAATGGATGTTCACTAAACCTATTGCGGTCAACATTTCATGATGTATGTAAGTCAAGTCATTATGCTGGACACCTTAAACTTATACAGTGCTGCATGTCAATCGTACCTCAATAAAGCTGGAAGAAAAAAAATTTTTTTTAACAAAACAAGAAAACAAAGTCACGTACAGATAACAACTTGCCACATCTCAGATTTTTTTCCCCTAGCTTCCAAGGCCATGTTAGAATATTTCCAAACTTTTCTCCTTAAGAGACTAAGTTATCAACCATGTCAGTAGAAAGACGGGAAAAGCAAGAGGCATGAAGGTCTTCTTCGAAAAGCCCAGATGTACTCACGGATGGGAACTTGAGATGCATTTTTCCCACGAGAATCCCGTCACCTCCTTAACCAGCTGATGGAGGTAACATGGACCAAGTGCATATACACCATGTGCCCGACTCTGTGCTGAAGTCTGTGCGTGTTTATCTCATGAATGTGTGCAGGGAATCTGTGCCTAGCTCCCACCATTACCCCTGAATTCACAGATGATAAAACTAAGGTTGGAGGAGTTCAAGCGACTTCCCCAAGGTCACAAAGACAACAGCCAGCAGGACCTGCGTTCGAACCCGGGCAGCTGGGCCTCAGAGCGTATGCCCTCAGCCACTCAGCAACATCACCACCCTCCCGGAAGTAGTGGTTGGGTCAAGCCTAATCCATTTTCCTAAATCTTCCATGCAGAAATGAGGGCTGAATTCCAATCTGAGATGCCAAGGCCTCCCCTTCTGCCACTGTCTGAGGAGCAAGAAGGGGCTCCCTGGTGCCCAGAAGGGTCTGGTGTTGGCCCAGGGTCTCTCGTGGAATGGGGACGAGGCCTGACGTTCCAGAGGGCCCTGGTGTCTGTGAAACCGGAGGACACCTGTGCTATGGACTGAATGTTTGTATCCCCCAAAATTCACATGCTGAAGCCTGTCCCCAGTGTGATGGCATCTGGAGGTGGGGCCTTCGGGAGGGGATTAGGTCATGAAAGCAGAGCCCTCATGAATGGGATGAGTGCCCTTATAAGGAGAGACCCCACAGACCTTGCTTCCTCCCTCTCTGTTCTCCACCAAGGAGAGAAGACACACATCTGCCAACCAGAAAGCAGGCCCTTACCAGACACTGCATCTGCCGGCACCTTGATCTTGGACTTCCCTGCCTCCAGAACTGTGAGGAATAAATGTTTGTTGTTAAACCACCCAGACCATGCTACTTTTGTTATAGCAGCCCAAACTGACTAAGACAGCCTGTGCCCTGTTTTCACGAACAAGCCCTACACCAGTCAGGGACCCCCTATGTTTCCAAATGAAGACGTTTCCTTAACACAAATCATACCACAGTAACTCAGGGAGCTCAAAACACCATTTGAGTTTAGTGATTTTTTTTATGTAAATTCACTTTCATCATAAGAAGACCTTGCATTTATCTCCCTACAGGGCAATAATGAAACTAATCCAACCTCCAATAAACTTAGCCAATGATTAATAAGTCAGTGTCAGATAAAATCCTCATAAACCGCACAGAGTGAAAATAAAAAAAAAAAGCCCCACAAGTTGTAATGCCACCTTACTCCTCTGAGGTCAAAAGCAAAGACACTTATTGACAAGACTGACATGAAGGAATTATTATTATTTTTGGCCGCACCGTGCAGCACGCGGGATCTTAGTTCCCTGACCAAGGATCGAACCCGTGCCCCATGCGTTGGGAGCACAGTCTTAACCACTGGACCTCCAGGGAAGTCCCGAAGGAATTTTTTTTTTTTTTTTGTGGGGAAAGGGGGTTCATTATTGAAAAACACCTCTGCCACCACTGACGCTCAGAACTGGATGCCAGTAATTCCATCGCTGCCCCCTCCAAGGAGTGCAGTAATGGTGAAGAGGGGTATGAAGGTGAGGATGCAGTGAGGAAAGAGGCAGGGTCCTGCTGAGGAAGGTAGGTTTGAGAAGGAAGTAGAGGAGAAGGCTCAAATCTTTCAGAAGCAGCAGCAGCCCAGCCCTGGGGCCTCCTAAGACTGCCATCTCAGGGGAGCACAGTTGCCCGGCTCTCCTGAGCCCTGTTGCAGCCACCACAGGTGCTGATGCAGTCCTCCTTATCCAGGAAGTTGTTCTGCTTCCTTCTGCCCCTGCCGTAAGCAAAGGTCTCGCAGAGCCTGGACTTCGCATTGTAGAAGTACCCGATGAACAGGGCCCTGCAGGGACCCACGTAGGGAGGCTCCAGGCAGAAGGCAGGGTGCAGGGCCTGGGCCTGGTTGCTGTTTTCACCCCCTGGGGTGCTGGCCACCAGGGTGCCCAGGAAGACTAGAAGGGCTGCAGAGGGGCAGAGCTGGCTCATCTTCGTGGCCTTGCAGGAGGGCTTCTCCCGAAGGAATTATTAATTACCGTTTGACAGCTGGAGTGAGGGAGGCCTGTTGGTACCCGCCCATGGGCTCACAGTGAGAACCAATCAGAACTGGGCCAAATTGGGTGACATTTTTTGATACACCCACATTCATTCCTGGCCATTCAGCAATTCATCCATGGCATCTCCAGACCCAAAAACACTGCATTCGCAAATTCCATAAGCCTTAAGAGCTGGTGGAAAACGTACAAACCATCCAAAAATCTAGACGTGTCCTTGAAGCCTCTCTTTCCTTCATCCTCCACTTCTAATCCACCAGCAAATCTTGCAGGTGTACCTCAAAAATATTTTCTGAACCTGTACATTTTCACCAAGGTCAGTGCTGCTACCCTGACTCTGGCCACTAATATCCTACACCGCCGATTGGCTTCCTTGTGTGGTTTTTTGTTTGTTTGTTTGTTTTTAGTTTCTTTAAGTTCTTTTAAAATTAATTTTTATTGGAGTATAGTTGCTTTTGGTTTCCTTGTTTCTTATTTTACCAGTCTTTCTTGAGACCGCACACATCCATTCTCCACGTGTAATTCAAATGATACCACGTCCCTGCTTGCTTACAGCTCCAGGAGTTCCTCCTGCACCCAGAATAAAATCCCAATTTTTGACCAGGTGTATTAGTGTCCTGGGGCTGCCTTAATAAAGTAAGTCAAACCAGATGGCTTAAAACAACAGAAATTGATTCTACCACTGCTCTGGAGGCCAGAACTATGAAATCAGGTGCTAGGAGGGCTGTACTCCTCCAAAGGCTCTAGGAGAGAACCCTTCCTTGTCTCTTCCCTGGCTGCTGGTTATGGCCGTCCATCTTTGGCATTCCTTTGCTTGCAGCTACATTACTCCAATCTCTGCTTCTGCCACAGTACGACATTCTCCCTATGTCTCTGTCTTTGCATGCATTTTCCTCTTCTTATAAGGATACCAGTCAATTTTAATTAGTGCCCACCCTAATGACCTCATCTTAAGCTGATTATATCTGCAAAGACCCTATTTCCAAATAAGGTTACGTTCACAGGTATCGAGGGTTAGGATTTCAACCTATCTGTCTGGGGGACACAATTCAACCCATAACACCAGTCCTACCCGGCCCCACATGGTCTGGCCCTGCCTTCCATGTCTCACACATCCTGCCCTCTCACACCCAGGGTTCCCACCACACCAGCCTTCTCCTCATCCACACACGCACCATGTTCAACCCATCTTGCACTAGTTCAATTTCTGCCTGGATCCCTCTCTCTTATCTTCATGTGACTGGCTCCTACGTATCATTCAGCTTCAATGTCACTCTTTCCAAAAGCTCCTCTCTGACCCACCAATGTAAAGTGGTTCAGAGGATCTGATCGCATCACCCCATCTCAATTCTCTGCACAGCACCTGTCACTCTGAAACTGCCTGATGCATTTGTTTACCTGCTTATTGTCTGTCTTCTCCTACTAGGATGTCAGCTCCACATGGGTAGAGACCTTCTCTGACCTGTCCATTCTTGTGGCCCAGTGCCTAGAATAGTGCCTGGCATTGGGCTCTCAATAAATACATATTGACTAAAGGAATGAGTAAATAATTTATAGATGAGAAAATCAGGGAGCAATAGTGATCACATGGGTATTTCTACTCAATGACACACCCTGGGTATAGAATGTGGATATCCCTCTAAACCAGTGACCAACAAATTTTTCTGTAGGGGCCAGAGAGTAAATATTTTAGGCCCTGCAGGACATACAATCAGTGTCACAGCCACTCAGCTCTGAGGTTGTAGCACTAAAGGCAGTCAGAGATAACATGGGAATGAATGAGTGTTGCTGTGTTCAAATAAGACCTTATTTATGGACATTGAAATGTGAATTTCATATAATTTTCACATGTCACAAATATCATTCTTCTTTTGATTTTTTTCAACCGTTAAAAATGTAAAAAATAATTTGTCACTTGCAGGCCATACAAAAATAGCAACAGGCTAGAAATGGTCCACAGGTTATGATTTGCCAACCCTTGCTCTAAATTCATGCATATATATTGACAGACATGATAGACTGATTTAGGAAAGACAGTAGTAACAGTAGCTCATACCAAGCCCTGCATTTAGCGCTACAGCATAAGAGCATATACCTGATAAGGTATGCAATGCATTGTCCCCAATTAACAAATAAGAAAAACCAAAGCTACTGAAAAACAGAGTTATTAAGCTACTTACTTACTCAAGGTAACCTAGCCTTAGGATTGGAACTCAGTCAGTCTGACTTGATTATGTTATACTCTGACTTTGTTGTATAATAAAATGAGATTGATAGCGAGGATGATATTAACAAGCTAACTAATATGCCAAGAGCCATTTACAGCACTGTATATAGATAAACTGGGATCTATTCCTCACAGCAATTCTATGAGGCAAGAATCCCTTTTATCTCCACTATACTGATGAGGAAATAACAGGTATGAGAGGTCATTTAGCTTGCAGGTAGCAGAGCCCAGAATGAAACCCAGGCCATTGACTCCAAAGGCCTCCTCGGGTCCCAGGCTCTGAGCGCCACGCCAGCCAGTCTCAGTCCCCACCCACCACTTACTGGCCACCTGCAGCCACACCTGGAACCACCGAGTCTCGTTCAGGACCTCCCAGCAGGTGTAGTTCCCTTCATCCTGCAGGCTCAGCGCCTCCATGTGCAGGGAGCTGGCATTCACCAGAGAGAAGCGTGGTTGGGCTGGCGGGAGGCTGGAATTGGAGGACAGGAGGAAGACAGGCTCCGAGTCATTGCGGTACCAGGTTATGAGGCCCCTCGGTCCCAAGATGTTGCCACAGCGCAGCGTGATATTCTCGTGAACTTCTCCAATGACGACAGCCTCCAGTCCTGAGTGAGGAAAGGTCAGGCTGTTACCACCTTTTTTTTTTTTTTTGCGGTACGCGGGACTCTCACTGTTGTGGCCTCTCCCGTTGCGGAGCACAGGCTCCGGACGCGCAGGCTCAGCGGCCATGGCTCACGGGCCCAGCCGCTCCGCGGCATGTGGGATCTCCCTGGACCGGGGCACGAACCCGTGTCCCCTGCACCGGCAGGCGGACTCTCAACCACTGCACCACCAGGGAAGCCCCACCTTTCTTGATCTCCCTTTTTGCACAGTCCCTCTGCACTAAGATTTTTTTTAAATCAGGCACGTGTTTTTGAGATGCAATAACACACAGAGCCCCACCCTGTCGGGATAATTGGCCAGTACCTGACAGTAATGAACTTGTGGTGAATCACAATTGCAAACAGCCCTAATAACCCCCTCCCCCCACTATCCATGCCCTTCACAATGTCACTCTGTGGCACCCTCCCACTCTGACTCTGGCAGGGCCATGTGACTTGCTCTGGTCAAAGGGGTGTTAGTAAATGCGGTTCAAGCAGAGGCTTAAAAAGCACTGGTGTAATTGGGCTTGCTCACTCTCACCTTCCGCCACCACCCTGAGAAGGACATGCCTAGCTTATGTGCCAGGGGGAGGATGACAATTATATGGTGTAGTCCCCAGTTGTCTCAATCCTCCCAGCTGTGGCCATTCTAGATCAGTCTTCAGCCACTCAGTGGACGCCCAGACATGTGAGTGAGCCCAGGCAAGATCAGCAGAGCCAACTGACTAACCATGCCAGACCCTTGAGCAATAAGCACTTATTGCCATTTTGTCATTGTTTGTTATGCAGCATTGCTGTGGTAATAAATAACTGATACAGGACCCCAGTGGTTTTATTTGCCTAGCAATCCAGAAGAGGGGAAGGAAGAGGGCTTTGGCTTTGTTCCCTCTTTCCTGCTGCTCTCTCTGTCTCTCTCCATCTCGAGTCCAGTGCAAGACCTCTCAGCAGCTCCAGGCAAGAACAAGCTCACGGTGAGGACTTTGGGGCATGCTCTGTGCCAGGCACTGGGGAGCTAATGGTGGGCAAAACAGAGACCACCAGGATCTCACAGCCTAGTGGAGAAAACAGACAATAAATTGGCAATTACAATGCAGTGTGATAAATAACACAACAGTGGCTCAGAGAAGGGGCTCCTAAGTCCAGCTGTGGTTTTTGTCAAGGAAGCTTCCTCCAGGAAGCCATACTGAGATCTGATGGACAGGAAAGAATTAGCAAGGTGAAGGTGAAGCTGGGGTTCCCAGGCAGAAGGAAAAGCCCAGATCAGCAGCAGCACTGTTAGAAATGCAGATTATCAGGTCCCACCCAGAACATCTAAATCAGAAACAAACCAGGAGTGTGGGGTGGAAGGTAGAACTTTGCACTTTAACAAGCCCTCCAGGTGATTCTGATGCTCATTCAAGACTGACAAATGCTGGGACTTCCCTGGTGGTCCAGCAGTTAAGACTCCCGCTCCCAGTGCAGGGAGCCTGGGTTTGATCCCTGATCAGGGAACTAGATACTACATTCCACAACTAAAAGATCCCGTGTGCTGCAACTAAGACCTGGCACAGCTGAATAAACGTTTTTTAAAAATTAAAAAAAAAAGACTGACAGATGCTAAGGCAATTGATTTGGCATAAGACTGCCACCAGGTAAACAGAAGCGAATGCAGCCAGTTTTGCTGAGAAGTGTCACAATTTTCCAGCCCCCTCCACAATCAGTGCCCAAATACAAGGTCTCTTACTCATGCTGTCACATTCAATAGATGAGAGAAGTGTGATGCAAAGAAGGGAAGTGGGCTGGCCCAAAGTCCTACAATGAGAAGGGAGCAGCATGCAACTAGAGTCTAGATTTCTCCATTCAGTTCTTTTCCCACCACATCAGAAGTTTTCAAAGTATGTGAATATATTGGGGTTTTGGGAAAGATGATATTTCATTACAAAATAAACTGCCTTCAACAGTGGTATTGGGACAATCAGATTTCCATATGCAAAAGAATGAAGTTGGATCCCTTACCTCACATCATATACAAAAATTAACTCAAAATCAGGAGTCCCCTGGCGGTCCAGTGGTTAGGACTCAGCGCTTTCACTGCCATGGCCCAGGTTCAGTCCCTGGTCAGGGAACTAAGATCCCGTAAGCCGAGTGGCAAGGTCAAAAAAAAAAAAAAAATTAACTCAAAATAGACCATAGATCTATATGTAAGAGCTAAAACTATAAAATTCTTAGAAAAAAAAAACAAAAGAATAAATCTTTGTGATTTTGGGTTAAGCGATGTTTTCTTAGATATGATACCAAAAGTAAAGTGACAAAAGAAAAATAGATCAACTGGACTTCATCAAAATTAAAACTTTTGTGCTGCAAAGGACACCACCAAGAAAGTGAAAAGACCTTTCCAGCGGTGACGATCTACCCATGAAAAAATGCTTCTCGCAAAGGATCTCCTTCATCCCTCTCTGGAAGAGGAGAAGAAGAAACACAAGAAGAAGCGCCTGGTGCAGAGCCCCAGTTCCTATTTCATGGACGTGAAATGTCCAGGATGCTATAAAATCACCACCATCTTTAGCCAGATGCACAGACAGTAGTTTTGTGTGTTGGCTGCTCCACTGTCCTCTGCCAGCCTACAGGAGGAAAAGCAAGGCTTACAGAAGGATGCTCCTTTAGACGGAAGCAGTATTAAAAGCGCCCTGAGGGAGGAGATATAGGGATATATGTATATGTATAGCTGATTCACTTTGTTATAAAGCAGAAACTAACACACCATTGTAAAGCAATTATACTCCAATAAAGATGTTAAAAATAAATTAATTAATTAAAAAAAAAGAAAAGCACCCTGAATCAAGATGAATGGGAAACCATCCCAATAAACACAGTTTGGATACAAAAAAAAAAAAAGTGAAAAGATAACCCACAGACTGGCAGAAAATGTTTGCAAATCACATCTGAGAAGGGATTTGTATCCAGAATATATAAAGAACTCTCACAACTCAACAATAAGAAGACAAATAATACATTTTAAAAATGGGCAAAGGATTTGAATAGACATTTCTCTAAAAGATAGACAAAAGGTCAATACGCACATGAAAAGATGCTCATCATTAGTCACTAGAGAAAGGCAAATCAAAACCACAGTAAAGGGCTTCCCTGGTGGCGCAGTGGTTGAGAGTCCCCCTGCAGATGCAGGGGACACGGGTTCGTGTCCCGGTCTGGGAAGATCCCACATGCTGCAGAGCGGCTGGGCCCATGAGCCATGGCCGCTGGGCCTGTGCATCCAGAGCCTGTGCTCCGCAGCGGGAGAGGCCACGGCAGTGAGGGGCCCACGTACGGCAAAAAAAAAAAAAAAAAAAAAAACCATGGTAAGATACCTAACACTTCACACCCACTAGAATGGCTAAAATCAATGACAATAACAAGTGTTGACAAAGATGTGGAGAAACTGGAACCATTATACATTGTTAATAGGATTTTTAAATGGTGCAGCTACACTGGTAAAGAGTTTGGCATTTCCTCACAAGGTTAAAATTATCATATGACTCAGCAATTCCGCTTCTAGGTGTATATCCAAGAGGAATGAAAACATATCTACACAAAAACTTGTACATGCATGCTCACAGTTACTCATAACAGCCAAAAGGTGGAAACAACCCAAATGCCCATCAACTGATGAATGGATAAATAAAATGTGGTATATCCATACAACGGGAATATTATTAGGCTATAAAAAGGCCGAATGCTACAGCATGGATGAATCTTGAAAGCACTATTCTAAGTGAAAGAAGGCAGTCATAAAAGACAACATATTGTGTGATTCCACTTATATGAAATGTCCAAATAGGCAAATCTATGGAGATAGAAAGTAGATTAGCTATTGTCTAGAGCTGGGGAAGTGGCTTGTCTGGGGATGGGGGCGGGTAGTGACGAGTGACTGTTAATATTTAAGTAGTGGGCTTCTCTTTGCAGTGATGAATTAGTGTTCTGGAATTAGTGGTAATGGTTACATAATCTTGTGAATATACTAAACACCACTGAATTGTACAGTTTAAAAGGGTGAAGTGTATGGTATGTAAATTATATCTCAATTAGGTTGTTATAAAAAAATTAACTGCTACCTGCCTTTGGAATACCTTCCCTTTCATAAAAGAAAGAGTAACAGTTATCTGTATTTGGCCTTTTGTCTGGTTAGAAGGGGATCCCTCTGAAAGATCAGTCAGCCTGGAGCCACAGGACGTTGTGACTTTTTCCCCATTTTGGCCACACCATTCCCCAAAGCCAGGGCAAGATGGAAAAAAAAAAATTCTAAGCCACTTGCTGGAAGGCAGAAAATGTCACCTAATGCTAGAGATTCTGAAACAGCAAGAAACGCTTCTGAACAATCACTTTAAAAAGCAAGTGAGAATTATTTTTAAACAATTAGGCCTGGGGACCCAAGTTCTCAGTGGCAATACCCACTGAGGAGAGAAGTACGGGAGAATTACAGATGCAACGTGTGTTCACGAGATCTGCAGACCTGCCCCTTCCCTGGCTCCTTGGCAAAAGCCCTGGCGAAACTTTAGTCTTGGAACTTGAGCTAACATTGTCTTCTCCTCCAAGGAGTAGAATGACATAACCACAAAATACACCATTTTAAGGCATTTCACTTCTCCTGGCTTTGCTCACTCCATTCTTTTTAACCACTGAAAGTGACCTTAGAGATCCTTCAGTCCTGAGGGCTGGGTTAAAGGTGAGGGCAGGCCGAGTCAGGGCTCAGTGGAGAAGAATTACAGTCATCAATTAGTGATGTCTGACATGGACAAGGAATGAGCGGTCCCTGAGGGTGCACTAGTTCCATGATTGATCATCCTAAACCCCCTCATTTTACAGTTGAGAAAATTGAGGTTCAGAAAGATTAAGTGATTTACTTAAGGTCCCACACAAGCCATTATGAGAGCTGGGACTGCTATTCAGGTCTTCAATGCTCCAGGTCACAGGAATTTACTCTGGTCTCCCAACCAGAAGGGTGAGACAAAAAGACACAGTAACAGTTTGTGTTACTAGAAGTCGTCCACCAGGTGTCCAGAGGGTCCCCGAAGGTCCCCCAACCTTAAATTCAGAATACGGACCAAAGGAAGGGGCAACAGAAACAACCATTTCCCAGCGCTGCCTTCATATTATCATTTACAGAGTTGACATTGTACCCAAACTTTTTTTTTTTTTTCCTACCAACCCTTCCCCAGGAATGACCCCAGGTTTACAACCTGAGGTGACAGTGGGGGGCATGAACATTGTCCAGAGTTAAGTGACAGGAGAAAGACAATATTTTCCCCCCAGACAACTTCCGACTTGAAAAACAAAGAAAAAAAATACAAAGTTATAGTACAGGGATCTCTACTCAATGATCTGTGGTGACCTGAATGGGAAGGAAATCTAAAAAAGAGTGGATACATGTATACTTATAGCTGATTCACTTTGCTGTACAGCAGAAACTAACACAACATTGTAAAGCAACTATACTCTAATAAAAATTAATAAAAAATATAAAAGTTAAAAAAATAAAATATAAAATAAAAAACCAAAAATACATCAAGCGAGGCAAGACTCCTGGCACTGTACACAAAGGTGAACTTGGCCTGGGCATCAAAATAACTGGGCATAGCAGTGGAGGAAGCCTCCCTGTGAGGTGAGCTGCAGCCAGTTCATTCCAGTACAGATTTCAGCTCAGGGTTCTGATGTCCCGAGGCCCTTGATATTCACAGTGCGGTAAACGCTGCACACAGCTGGGGAAAAGGGAATACACAATCACCTTTAACTTTCAGGGTCGGCCAGTTGGAGGCCGTGTGTCCGCTTCTCCTCCTCACAGCACAGTGACCACTAAGTATATGCCTGGAGGGGCCAGCAGGTCATGTCCATGGCTGTAGTGGGCCAGGGGTAAGTACTGCAGCAGGGAGAGGGGGAACCAATTTGCAGTCACCTGCCCTAGATGAAAATGGGTAACCACTGCTCAGTTCCACATGGGAAAGCAGGCCATGTGCTGCCAGATCCTCAGAGTTTTCCATTTAAACGAGAAATCTAGCTCATGAGAAATTTTACTATTTTTAAATAATTGCTAAAAACAAAGCAAAATAAAAACATGGGAGAGCCTCACAATTAGGAAGTTTTGGCACTTGCTGCTAGGAAGCTCGGGGTAGGGCGGGCAATTCCTCTAGGAACCTACAAGAGATCAGCTGGGTGTGCTGGACTGGGTAACCCTGAAAATAGGACTCTGCAAGTATTCTGGGAAACTGCATCTCCTTTCCCTGAACCCGAGTCCTCTCACATGCATTCGCTGGTGAATTAAATTCAAAAGTAATTTTTCAATCTTTTTAAAATTCTATATGTTTTTGTAAGCAACCCTCTATTCCTTATCGTTACAAGGCAGAGCAGAGATGAACCATTTAAGACCTTTCGCCAATCATGTCAAGTGTAAGAGGCGATGTCAAGTGTAGGGGAAGTTTTCTGTAAGTCTGAAATTATTTCAAAGTAAAAGTTTTGTTTTGTTTTGTTATTTAAGTGAAGGAGAAAAGCACAACTTTGCGACAGTCCACACAGGTCGGCTTGCAGGAATGTGTAGGGAAATCCACAGGTTACAGGTGCAAGCTCAACCTTGGGCAGAGGGAGGAGAGGAAAATAAAGGAGCCTCGAGATTGAGAACCATCGCAGCACGTAAAACCAGAACGCGAATTTACATCCGACGCTTAAAAAAAAATAAAAATAAATATTTTACGCTTCTTCAATTTTCCCATCTTCAAAACTCCCATCTTCGATTTCCCCAATTTTCCCATCACCTCTCCGCAGGCCCCTCGAGCCTCGCCGGCTGCCCACTCCAAGGGTGGGGATGTCTCGCCTTCTATCAAGAGTCCAGGAAAATTCCTTCCTGCAAAAAGCCAAGCTGCAAGCAGGAAACTCAAGATCCTCCCGGGGCGACTTCGGGGCCGCGGCACAACTGGATCCGGCAGAGTCGTAGGGAACTCGACTCTCCGGCTCTCCCTCCCCGCCGTTGACTGGCAAAACTCAACTTTTCCCTCCAGATCGCAGCCCCTTACCTGCGGCGACCCAGCGGGCCAGTAGCGCCCCGAGGCAGACGAGGACCCGGGGCTCGGACGCCCGGACGCCTGCGGCCATCTCGCCCCAGATGCGGGCAGGGGCCCCTCGGGAAACGCAGGCTCCGGCTTGGCTGGGTGTGCGCCCCCAAGGACTCCGGCCCCTGGGGTGGTACTGAGTGCTCCTCCCAGGTCCTCGGAACGACAGAGTAACTCCACTTTCCGCAACCTCCAGGAAGGATGCTTGGGGTGAGCCCGATGTCACAGGCTGGGAGCTGCTCTGGGCTCCGAGAGCGATTCTCTCTCCCGAGCGCCCGGCCCGGGGTGGGAGGGCGCACCCCGCCCCCTGCGCCCGCCACCCACTCCCGCTGGCGGAAAACAACAGGAGCTGGGCTCCCTCCCGCCCATCCAGGCGGGAGCCCAACTTCCTCTACCTTGGCCCGGGAGGAGGGCTTTACGCAAAGGGCGCACGCCGGGGCGCGCCGAGCCGGGTCGGGGCAGGCCTGGGGAGGAGCACAGAAGCTGGTCCCTGCCCGAGCCCACTCAGCCGGGCTGGGCCGGGCAAAGGCCTGCGGCTGTTGCAGGACGGCACCCTCGCCCCGGCCCGCCGGCTGCTACCTCCCGGGCGCTCCGGCTGCGGCACCCGGAGGAGCGTCGCGAGCCGGAGGGGTCGGCTGCCAAGGGGCAGAATTCAGGGTCCCCTCGGCTTAGCTGTTCTAGGGATTCTTAGGTGTTTTCCTGTGCCCCGGGCGGACGCCAGGGCCGCCATCGCTGCCTTTCTCTACCCTTTGCAGAAGGAAGGCAAGTCTAGAGCAGGAGAAAGATGATCCCTTAGACCTTCCAGCCAAGAGCAGCCACGAGACTCTGGTCCTCCGGTTAACTGGCTGAGACCACACAGTAAGAGTCAGGGCAGCGGAACTGGGTTCCGGGAGCTTTTTTGTTTTTCCTTTTTAGTTCCCCCACCCCCATCCAGTCTGGCTCCCAGAGAACTTCATTCCCAGCCTAAAATCCCCCTCTTCCTGCCACACCCCCATCCCAGCCTTCTGTCCTAGGGAAAACACGGTTATGATATACTCAGGAAGAGCTGATCCTTGAAACAGCCCTACCAGAAACTTCCTCTTGAAAAAAACAAAACTGCAACTAATAGAGTGAAATATTAACTGTAGACTCTAGGAAGTGGATATGTGAGTGTTCCCCTTCTTTGGATTTTTCTATGTTTGAACATTTCCCCCTCATCTCATCATAAAATGTTGGGGAAAAAACAAACAATGCTATTAAGAAAATCATTCGATCTGTTGCCCAAAGGCCCCTTACTGAAATACGTTTTCCATGAGGAAATCCTCTTGAAACCACTAAAAGTGTATGTTTCACCCATGAACTGAGCCATGATGCTGCACACTTCCTTTTTTTCCTCTTCTGCTCAATGATTTTACCTCTTCAGCCAGCTCCTCAAAGTTTTCCTCCTTCCTCTCCCCCTTTTGTTTCTGTTTTTCATCTTTTACTTGGTGATGGAAAGTAAAGTATGTCCAGGACGCACTGTCCTGTCTTCCCCGTGCCCGGCACCTCGGTTACCACCCAATATATATTTGTTAAATAGATCAATGAAAGTTGATTGGTTTTGATATTGAAGCTGCTCAAGCTTTCCTGACAAACACCTCACATCCTCACCTGAAGTTAACAAGATATAAGTAAAATTAATAAGTGGCAAGTTTTCAGCTGAGGGTCTGGAATTTTCTGTGACCCTACTGGTGCCTCACAGGGGGACTTGCTCAGAGCACACCCTCCTGGTATATTTGCTGAACCAAACGGACAGTCTCTTGACCAGTTCTCCACTCCTACAAGGATCAACCTCCCACAAGATATTTTACAACAGTGATTAGAGCACCTCACATTTGCATAGCTGGGGCCTTTTTCTAAAGCAGTTTTAGAAACTTAATCTCACTGGGCCCTCCCTCCAACCCTTGGACCTAAAGAATCATTCAATCCCATTTTACAAGTGAGAAACCCACAGCTAGGAAGTTAAGCTCCAGGTCACAAAGCCGGTTGGTGGTAAAGCCAGGTCTGGAACCCATGTCTGTCTGACTCCAATTCCTGCCAAACCAAGTTCCAATCTTGTCACTTACACAAAGGCTGCCATGGTCTTGTCTACTTGAAAGAAAAATGTGCAAGGTAAAAGTTGTGAGTTAAGTTGTATTTCGAGACCTTACTGAGGACCACAGCCCCAGAGACAGTCTCTCAGGTAGCTCTGAGGAACCACTCGAAGAGGTAAGGTACAATCCAGGATGTATATGATCTTTTTCGCTGGGAAAAACATGTAGTCAAGCATCAAAAGATTACTGATAACAACAAAGAACAGACATCTTAAGTTAATGATTTTAGCATTTTTCTATGTATGGAAAAATGCAAGAATTTGGGGTCATTTGAAATTTTTCCTTAGATATGCATCTTAACCATTTAGGGGCCTGTATATCCAAAGCACAGAATGTTTCTTGTTTTTCTCCATCCTGAATTCCCCGGAGGTTGCACTGTTGTGGGCCACTGCAGTGGCTAGCGGCTTGATCCTTGTAGAACTGGAATGGCAGGCAATATTTTTTTCTTTATAGCCTGGATGTTTTGGATGTCACCAGACCAGCAGACATGGGCATTTCCCTGAGCAGGGCTCAAAGGAAGCCTCCAGACCACTCAGTGTGGGACAGAGCTGGCCCAGGAAGCACCCACTCTCTCTGGTTTGGGGAAGGCTGTTGCTGACTCAGACAGGACTTGTTAGGAAGTGCCCTGCCGTAACATCCAGTTGTGTTTCAGGCCACTCTGGACAGTGGAAAATGCCCTACCTAGAACAGTGACATTGGGGGTGAGTTGGGGGTTCACTGTAGGGTCTCTAGCAAGGTAGGGGTCTTTCAAAGCCCTAGTTTCACCTATCTGCACCTTATAGTCAATGTTTACCTCATGGGATGGCCGTGAAGATAAAGTAAGGGACTCAAAGGTCTTTAAAGCATCGCTTTGGGGTCTGTCATTTGAGATGCGCACCAACAGAACCTGGCAGGACTCCTAAATCCTGCAATCAGATATTAAACATGAGGCTCAAACACCTCTCAGCTCAGGCTGCTACACATGGCTGTTTTTGTTTTGTTTCATTTTCGCCTCCCAAGAATTGAAAAAACTTACTCTATTTTAGGTGCTTTGTATCCATTCATTCATTACCCTTCCCAACTGACATATGGCTCAGAGCGGCCAATTTACATCTCAAGTAAATGGGGGAGGCTGGATTTGAACCCAGGTCTGAGGGGGTGTCATCTTTTTTTTTTTTCTTTTGGCCATGCCTGTGCAGCATGCAGGACCTTAGTTCCCCGACCAGGGATCGAACCCGTGCTCCCTGCATTGGGAGCACAGAGTCTTAACCACTGGACCGCCAGGGAAGTCCCATGAGGCGGTGTCATCTTGATCAGTCTTGGCGGGAGGAATGGGGTGGGGCTCCTGCCTGACTCCAGAGCCAGCGCTCCTGCAGCCTGGGTCTTTGAAGCCATCCAGCCACCTATTATTTCTGCCCCACTACTCCTCTTGCCAAGTCCCCTCCCTAGAGGTAATGCTGAAAGGTTTCTTAGCAACAACGTGCTTCTCGTTCAACCTCTCCTGGGGGCTCAGAAAGGGCGGGCCAGTTGGGAACAGCTCAGATAGCAGCCTGGCCCCTCAGGTCCAGCTCTGGACCCCTCACTTGAAGAATTACTGAGAGGTCTGTCTAGTGGGATGCCTACCGTGTGCTATAAAACTATAGAACTAGAACTATGGAGGGGGAATAAAAAGGGAGATTGGGATTGACATATACACACTACTATATATAAAAGATGATGGAAACCTACTGTATAGCACAGAGAACTCTATTCAGTGCTCTGTAATGACCTATATGAGAATGGAGTCTAGAAGAGAGTGGATATATGTATATGTACGTATACCTGATTCACTTTGCTGTACAGGCAGAAACTAACACAACATTGTAAATCAACTATACTCCGATAAAAAATTAATTTTAAAAAAAAGCATTACTAGGAAGTGGATGTCAAAATCCTACTCATGCCTTCTTGGATGGGTCGGGGACCCACAGGCTGGTGCCTCAGAAACCAGGGGCAACAAAATCAACCTGCCTTCTTCTCTGGAGAAGAAAGCCTGCTAACCCTTCCCCAAACACCACCTTCTCTCACCTCTCCTCTGCCTTCTGCCCAGAAGAAAAGAATTGAGGTGCAGGTGCTGTAGCAAGAAAGTTCCAAATCAGGCGAAGTTCCAAAAAGAAGCTGGCTGGGGGACTTCCCTGGTGGCCCAGTGGTTAGGACTCCACACTTTCACTGCTGGGGCCCTGTGTTCCATCCCCCGTCTGGGAACTAAGATCCTGCAAGGTGCGGCCAAAAACAAAGCTGGCAGGATGAGACGGGAAAACGAAAAATACAGAGTTGCGAAATGAATCTATTTTTGACCAAAGCCCAGCGTCTCCTCTCTGGACTCAAGACCAAGAGCTTGAAGTTCAGTGTCTCCAAGTGACAAAGAACCACGGGACTTGGAAGCAGATCCACCCTCAGAAGATAAAATGCTGCTTACTGAGGCATGAGGAAAGTGATCATCCAGTGCCCTGAGAAATGGGCAACCAGCAGCTGAAAAGAGATGCATGGCTCACTCATCCTAAAGGATGAAAGGAGCTCAGCCTGTGCTGGTGAACGTGGAACCACAGACACTCGGCTGGTGGCAGTGAGGGTGATTGTAGTGTCCGCCAATTTCCATGGTGTAAGTATGTCCACGACAACCAATTACAAGTTATCACTGTGAAGTTACTGAACTATAGGCACAGTCAGCTCTCCAGAGCCAGTACCTCTGGAACAGACCACTTTCCCCCCATAAGACGACTCCAAGGTGGGAAACAACAGGATTATCCAGGAGGAGACCTGCTGGGAGCCAGTTGTACCAGATGACTCAGGTGAATACATTCTCCCATCAAACTCCTGTTCTCAGGAATTCCCTGGCAGTCCAGTGGTTAGGACTCTGCGCTCTCACTGCCAGGGGCCCAGGTTCAATCCTTGGTCGGGGGACTAAGATCCTGCAAGCTGCGTGGCCAAAGGAAAAAACAAAAAACAAAACAACTCCTGTTCTCTGCTCTCACCCTCACCTATTGAGTGCATTTGTCGGCCAACATAAATGTTACCTTCCTAACTCCAAATTGGGACATGTGGATTGGCAGTCACAAAGGTATTGAATTCATGGGGACAGAAGAACTTAATAATCTCAGGGTATCCTGAGAAAGCTCGGATGAAGCATTTTCCTGAAGTTGTCTATTTTTTAGATAGCATTTGCTGTGTTCCTGATTATAAACATGAGCATGTTATGCTTAGTCTAGAATAATGAAAAAACAAAGAGAGAAAAGAAAATGTAACCATAAGTCATCTAAAAGTAATCTCTATCATCACCAGGAACTTTTCTGCTGCGTTCCAATGTGTGATTTTCTTTTTTTTTTATGAAGTTGTGATGACATTTTACAGTTTTCATTCCTGCTTTTTTCCCTTAACTTTATATTAAAAATAGACATTGTGTGTTTTTGACAACTAACTAGTTTTTTTAACTGGAAAACTAATAAAATGCTAATGGTTTAAAAAAAAGTCCAGATGAAACTTGCAGACATTGTGCTAAGTGAAATAAAGTAGTCACAAAAGAACAGATACTGTATGACACCACTTGTTTGAGACGTACCTAGTGCAATCAAGTTCCTGGAGACAGAAAGTAGAGGGGGTGAGGAGTGGGTAGAGAAATGGGGAGATGTTTAATT